TTAATTACTCAATCATTAGCAGCAGTTGGATGCAGGATGCAAGTCATACCGGACCCCACCACCGTTCATTATCATCTGCCCAATGGCCTTTCTGTACGTGTGCACAGAGAATATAACGAGTTCATTTCTGAACTTGTTCGCAGATTTCCTCACGAGAGAGAAGGCATTCTCAAATTCTATGGCATCTGCTGGAAGGTTTGTTCGAACTAATGAATGCTGCTTGCTCTTGGAGCTTTTTTTCTTCCTGTTTTTCATTAATTAACTTCATAATGATGATGTATTTCAGATATTTAATTCATTGAACTCGCTGGAATTGAAGTCTCTGGAGGAGCCGATTTACCTGTTTGGACAGTTTTTCAAGAAGCCCCTCGAGTGCTTAACTCTTGGTAATTTTTAATTTTTCAGTTTTGGTTCTTTCTTTCTTTTCTGGATTAAATCAAGGCCTTTTTTACAGATCATAAAGCGAAAAGAATTACAAAATCTGAAACTTTGGATTTTAATTATTATGGTGACCTATAGATTCCTCGTGCATTTGATATCCTCCTTTCAGTTGAAACATACATCTCCAATTATTGTTACTAACGAAATCCCCTGTGCTACAAAAATTGCAATAATGTACATATTTCTTTATGCGCTGACATAAATTTTATTGTTATTCATCTCAGCCTACTATCTTCCTCAAAATGCTGGCAACATAGCTCGAAAGTATATAAAAGATCCCGAATTGTTATCCTATATTGATGCCGAGGTATTTTTCTACTCACCTCGACGAAAATTAGTCTTTTTATTTGTGGATTACCGAAGAATTCTTTTCTTATCAAACATTCCTATTTCATTTTCCGTTTAGTGTTTCATAGTGAGCACAATCAATGCCATGCAGACACCTATCATCAATGCAAGCATGGTAATCTCGTAGACATTTATCTCTCTCTCTCTCTCTCTTTTATATATATATATATATTTCAAAACAGTTTGTTTTGATTTTTATATTTCTTTGTAGGTTTTGTGTGATAGACATTTCGGTGGAATTAATTATCCCGTTGGTGGAGTTGGAGAAATTGCAAAGTCGTTAGCAAAAGGTTTGGTCAATCAAGGGAGTGAGATACTTTACAAGGCAAATGCGACTGACATTATATTAGAAAATGGAAAAGCTGTGAGTTTTTATTCGCATCAAGTTCTCCTTTTATTTATTCATTATTATTATTTTTTTGCCCGAGAGAAAAGAATTATCACTTGTCATGTTTCATTTTACAGGTTGGAGTGAAGCTATCAGATGGAAGACAATTTTATGCTAAGACCATAATTTCAAATGCCACTAGATGGGATACATTCGGTTAGTTCTAGTAAAAACTCGGTGTAATCTTTACGTTGAGATTCTTGTATATTGATTTTCCAAAAAATATGTTTTCCACAGGCAAGCTCTTGAAAAAGGAAGATATGCCCGAGGAAGAAAAAAGATTTCAAAAGGCGTACATCAAAGCACCGTCCTTTCTTTCTATACACGTTGGGGTTAAAGCCGATGTTTTGCCACCTGACACGGATTGCCACCATTTTATTCTAGAGGTAAAAATGGTGATATTACTATTAATTGCTCTGTAATTTTATGTGGGTAACTAACTCGTTATTTATCGTATGATTATATAGGATGATTGGAAAAATCTAGAAATCCCTTATGGAAGTATATTCTTGAGCATCCCAACGGTTCTTGATAAATCATTAGCTCCCGAAGGAAACCACATTCTGCATATTTTTACAGTTTCTTCAATCGAGGATTGGGAGGTAAATAAATTATTACTAAGTTTTTAATGGAGGGCGAATTTTTTTATTTTTATTTTTCTTATTTTATAGTATCTTTTGCTGTAGGGTCTCTCGCGAGCAGAGTATCAAGCAAAGAAGGAATTTGTGGCTGATAAAATAATTAACAGGCTTGAGAAGAAATTATTCCCAGGGCTTAAGTCATCTATAGTTTTCAAGGAGGTATGTCAATTTTCAGTCATGCAAAAAAAGATGAAAGAGTTTAATTAGTTCAATAGATTCCAAGAAAATATTTTCAATCTTTTTTCTTCATCAGTACTTGACCAATGTTTCAATTAGGAACTTAAGGTAAATGCAAAAAATGGAAATAGTTTTTCGACCACTTTAACTTTGACTTCCGAATATGGCAGGTGGGTACACCAAAGACACACAGGCGGTACCTTGCTCGGGATAGCGGTACATATGGTCCAATGCCTAGAAAAACCCCAAAGGGATTGCTAGCAATGCCGTTCAACACGACTGTAAGTTATAATCAATATATTTTTATTTTTATTTTTCTGGTTCACATTATTTGCTTAATTAATGGAATTTGCAGGGTATAAAGGGTTTGTATTGTGTGGGAGATAGTTGTTTTCCGGGCCAAGGTGTTATTGCTGTGGCTTTCTCGGGAGTTATGTGCGCGCATCGTGTGGCAGCTGATTTAGGTAATATGTTTCTTACATATTATGTGATTTGCTTGACTAATTTAGCTGTTTTTTTATCGTATAATTTCTTACTGGGCTCACTTTTATTTTCATTTTTTTTTTCTTTTTTTCCTCGACTTGATGCAGGATATGAGAAGAAAAACCCGGTGCTCGATACAGCTCTACTTAGGTTACTCGGTTGGTTCAGGACTTTAGCATGAGAGATCAGCAACAAATTACTAAAAAAGATACAGTTTTTGCACCACAATTGTGAAGAGCAACGAAAGATCGTATCAAACTGCTGTTAAAATGGTGAAAAAAACCATATCGAGGTACTTATGTGACAGCTTTTTGAGAATTAAGACCACAGTTTGTAGTTTTACAGTTTTGAATACTGATATGTACACATACTTTTAGAGAATCACTATTCTGTGAAAATTATAGAGATCAACACATTGTAAACACGTTTGTTGAGAAAACTCACGTATTAAAGGAGAGCTAACGAACCCGTGATATGAAAACCTGGACATTCTGCATGAAGTCGTAAAAATTATTTTCTAGTACATTTAGTTTTCTTATTCATTTTATCTCTGTCTTTACAATTATTTATTCTTATTTTTTCTGGTTAGTTAAATCTCACATTTTCTTAGTTATTGCAAGCACTCATAGGAGGGGAAGGTTGCTGCTTTACACTAAATTTGATTTTTCAGAGGCAGGTAGTTTTATTTTTAACTGTCTTATTTACCAAATGCTCCCTCATTTTTAGCTTCTATTTGCGAACACGACCAACTTTCAGTAAGTATCATAAAAGCTTCTGACTTTATGTTCACAAAGAAGCCGATACATAGTATTTTGAAGCATCAGAAGTCGATAGGAAGGATAGTATTATTATTGATTAGGGTGAGGTGTCTTTCTTAATTTTATTGGAGTAGTTTTCTTCTACAACCAGTATCTAATGGTGGAATAAGTTTCTTTACCACTACAAAATAAATTCAAAATTAATTCCTATTTAGAGATAATTAACGGGCCGGCTTCAGCCCAACCCAAACCTTTTTAAATTGGGGCAATGTTCACATTGAGATGTAGGCCGTAAGATCACACATCTTCATACAAATTTCAAATTTGGGAGAACTCGACCTTGTTGATGTGGATAGTGTCAATACTGGGATCAAAATCGTCAGATCAACACACATATTCATACAAATTTGGGAGAACTCGACCCTGCCGATGTGGGCAGGTAGTGTCCACATCGAGATATAAATCTTCATATCATACAAATATTCGTCCAAATTTGGGAGAATTTGACTTTCCTGATGTAGTGTCCACACTGAGATCTAAGTCGAAATTTGGGAGAATTCGACCTTCCTGATCCTGCCCACACACTGAGATTTAAGCCGTCAGATCACACACATTCGTACAAATTTGGGAGAACTCGACTTGTCCACAACAAGATCTAAATCATCAGATCACACGCATATTCGTACAAATTTGGGAGAATTCGAGTCTGCTGATGTTGATATTGTCCACAAGGAGATCTAAATCGTCATATCACTCACATATTCGTTCAAATTCGCGAGAATTCACCTTGCTTCGTTCAAATTCGGGAGAATTCCACCCTACTGATGTTGAGAGTGTTCACACTGAGATCTAAGCCTTCAGATCACACATACTCGTACAAATTCGAGAGATTTCGACCTTGCTGATGTGGGCAGTGTCCACGCTGAGATCTAAGTCGTTAGATTACACACATATTCATCCAAATTTAGGAGAATTCGACCGTGCTAATGTTGGCATTATTCATACTGAGATCTAAGCTCAGATCACATACAATTCGTACGTGTGTATATTAATCCATCCGAGAATAAGACTTCTTCATAATTGATTAGAATTGGAAGAACGTGGCATGGGGCTCGGACAATGTATGTACTAGAAAGGAACACTGTTGGATGTTTATTATTGACGTTTTCTTAAATATTACGTCTATTATAATATGGGAAAAAGCTACCATCCCGTCACGGAATCATTCCGTGAGAATTTCTAGCCATTGATTATCTACAATAACTAACTTTTATGCATATCCAAAGGCTAAAAACTTTCACGAAATGATTCCGTGACGGGATGGTAGCTTTTGCAATTTATTTCTCTCAAACATACTCATTTGTATCTAATTGAATGAATCGAGCTTTAATAGCTTTACGATTTTATATAGTTCTCTATATACTTTTACCAATAAGTTAAGGCCAAATTTCCAATATGGAACTCGCAATGAGTGAGCTGGGTGAGTTAACTCGGCTAACATGAACGACACATGTATTACTATCAACTCGATATGGCATTTGCCGAAAATTTGCACGTGGTTGTTTGTTCGACTTTGATAGTGCGCGTGAACTCCATGGGAAATCTTTGGGGAAATACTTCTCGGTAGTTAACTAGTGAAATAGTGAATTTCACGAATTTCACAAGACCAGTGTGGGCACTACCCATACCAAGTTCAGAGCCGTCAGATCAACACACACAGAGGTGGTGTAGGTGTGTGTTGATCTGATGGCTCGGAACTCAGTGTGGGCCACCCTGCCCACTGGTAGGATTGAATTAGCCATAGTGAAACAATGCTAGGAAATGACAAGTAAACGGCGAAAACAAATTAATGTTGAATGTCTTCTTAGTTCCTCATAAATGAGCTAGAAGCCCCAACCTCACTGTTTTCCCAAATTCTCCTATGCTTACAAAAATAGGTGAAAATCGAAGGGAAGNAAGAGGGAAATTTTGGTCGTTTTTCATTTTTGCGCTCCACGCATTACACCTTAAAATGAAAATTTGAAAGCGCCCACCTTCGAATCCGTAACAGAGTCCCAGAAAGAAGGTTTCTTTTGTTCTCTCCTTTTCTCCTCTGCTTTGTGTATCAACTCATCTAATGTCCCGGGCAGAGATGCCATCATCGCATTCTTGAATTTGTCGTGCAAATTCACTCTGTCTCTTGTTCCCGACACAAGAGTACTCGCGTTAGGCTGCTTTAGAAAATCCAAAACATTCAATAAATTCCTCCTGCAGTAAAAAAGTAAATAGTTTTAAGAACTACAATTCTTCTGCAAACTGCAAAAGTCAAGTAAGTTCTGCACAGAAACTACTTTGCTCGCATTGCTTAATTCACACACACATAAATAAATTAAATAAATAGTGGGCAAATGATGAAATAGTTGAAGTAAATTTGTCGAGACCCTGAACTAGTGATGACCTACTATCTATCTATCTATCTATCATGCTTGAACATTCAAGTTCATATTTTTATGACATGGGGCCCTTTGAAAGAATTTTGTATTAACATTGTTCAGTTGAGATGGCAGAGCATGAAATTCAGAATGTATATAAAAAAAGAAAATATATTTAGAAATTTAGACTGAATGTCATACAGTGAAAAAACCACAGATGTAAAATTTTCAAACATATGAAAAAAATGAAGTGATTTTCAGATTAAAGAAAATTAGTTTTTACTGCACATATAGTTTTTTTTTTATAATTTTGCAACGAGTACCAATTTCTGTTCATAATTCACATAATCTAAAACTAGTAAAGGTGCATTTAATTGTTAAATTTATTTATTAACTGGTTTTGGCTTTTTATTCACCAAATATGCTTTCTATTTGCAAACATTACCACCTTAATTCCCTCTCTATGAGTTTGTGAATTTATCATAATCCAAAAACCAACAAAACACTATTCATCATATCAGCATTACAAAGAAAAAGATTCATCACCAATCATCACAAAGCATTATGCGTAGAGGAGCGAAAACAGAATCGAATCCATTACCTGCTAACAAAATTTTGCGTAATGGCCACAGATTCTTCAAGATTAATAACCAAATGCCACCACCCATTCGGCACAAAGATCACTTCCCCTGCTTTACAAACACACTCGACTGGCCTTTTCTCCCAACTCTTGGTAGCATTATAAAAATTCATAAACCACTCGATAATCGAGACAGGGCAAGCAACCTCCGAGCCATCTGGGCTCGGGTGCACTCCAGGCGGGACCACCTCAGGAGGAAATAATATCCATTTCTTCGAACCCCTAATCACTGCATTCCAAGCAGAGGTCGAGTTAGGGTCGATGTGAAATGACGATCCTGACCCTGCAGGCCCGATTATAATCCACCTATAATCCGGCCTTTCATTCCCTAAAACACTAAAAAGATCCTCTTTGAAGTATTCGGGGACTTCATAATCCGAACCCAATTTCGGAACCTTTTCGGAAAATTTCGTGTCGAAAAGGTACAATGGCCTTTCTTCCCTCACTTGATCTGAATAGTTGAAGTAATCCTCGAGCTTCATTTGCACCGGCCCAACTGAGAACTTAGCATCACCGCATATTTTAACCAAATAATCTCTATCCCATTTTCTCATAGCAGGCCAATTTTCCAAACAGCCCTCTAACAAAACGGGCTTATTCGGCTCCTCGAATTTCAGCACAAATTCATCGACAGAGATTCCCCTTTTCCTAACTATGTTATCTCTCTCGAGCCATTCGGGCTTCATTTCGAGATTCGCACACAGCCAGCTCTGAAACAAGTAATCAGAATAAAAGTCCCTAACTTTAACTGTAGAGTTAACGATTTCGAACGAGGTTTTATGAGCACCGACGAAAGTGTTTTTCCAGGTGCCATTGAACAAGAAGCCATTTTCAGAAGAACCCAAGACAAGGTTCCGCCAGAGGGGCTCATGGCTGCAGAAAACATAAAAGGATTTGCTTACAGTGGATAAAACCCCAAGGTCCGGCCCGCTCAGGAGCCCGAGAATGTCGAGGACGAGCTCGTCCGTGAGGATCTGAAGGCTGCCGAGGCCAGCGTTCCTGGAATTGAGAGACGATGCGCTGAAATAGAGGTTCCCCAGCGGCTGGACGCCATGGGAGTGGGATCGGGCTGAGCCCTTTAGGCTGAAATTGCCATCTTCTCCTTCTCCGCCGAGCAGGTCTCGATCTCCTTCCTCCGTCGATAACGCCGGCGGAGCTGCTGAGAGTGGTTCTTGATTCTTGGATGCGGATTTTGGTTTTTTGGGAACTAAGCTAGGGTTCCTGGGAAGATTTTTCCGGGATTGTTTTCTTCTTTTGAGATTGGATTGGAGCAACAGATTTCTGGATGTGAGCATTGCGCGGCGGCGGAGGGTTTTATGCCGCCGTCGGAATATTTTTGCCGTGACTGAAGAGTTTTTGTTTTTTTTTGGGGGTAAATGGTAGCTCCAAGACTAGGCCTTTAAGAGCACGCTAATTGAATAAATTGTGACAAAGCTGAATTAAATTAATGGAAGTTGAAAGTTGACAACAAATAGCATAAAACTTGCAATTTTTTTTTATTTTTTATTTTTTTTTTTGGAGGGAAAGGAAGCTCACGAAGCTATCCTGCGTGGGTAAGTCACTCCGACAACATCGTGCTCAAGCCATGGCTTCAACCTAATCGACGGGAACTCTAGTCGTTCCAAGCCTCTAGGGCTAGTCGTAGCTAATGAAGCCAAATAATCTGCCGAGAAGTTTGATTCCCAGTAGACATGCGTTATTTCCAATCACGATTCATCAACTCCTTTGTAGCCCGGACTAGGCTACTATGAACCCCCTCCACTTCAGCCTTGGCCATTCACCAAGTCAGCCACCACCTTACTGTCGGTATCAGCTAGAACTCGACGATACCCCAAGTCCCATGCTAACATCAAGCCTTGCAGCAACCCCCATATCTCCGCGCCCTATGTTCATGACGAATTCACCCACAACCTACCATTGTGGTCACGTAAAAGGCCTCCCGCACTTGCCAGAAGTATTGAAAGCGCCGTCAAAATTACACTTTATCCATCCCTCCATCGGAGATTCTCAACAAATCATACGATCCCAACGCTGGGTTCCGCTTTCCCCGAGTTGCAGTAGGCTGGAGTTCGCTTGCAAAATTTCTTTATGTCACAATGTAGAGGAATTATAACAGTATATTCATCTGGCCCAAATTATTTATATATATATATATGGAGTAGTTTAAAAATAGTAATATGTTTTATCTCTTTACTAGGTTGTTATAATGTAGAAAATAATGTTACTAAACCACATAGTCCATGTATTTGTTATTACATTGCGTGCTTAAGGTAAAAAGTGGAGCTAATATTAAACTTATCACAAATTCATGTATTTTAAGGTAAAAAGTACAGCTACTATTAAATTTATTACAATTTCAAGTAGTAAATTATATCACAGGCTATATGTTCTACTGTGAGCTTGTTTAATAATATTTTGATACTTGTTTGATTTGAAATTGGCTATAGGAGCAGGACGTCAACATGCAACCATTAGGTTAAAACCCCATTCAAAGAGGCATCCTTATAGTAATATCAGGGGCGGACGCAAACTTTTATGACAATGGAGGCACAAACTTCGGTAAACGGTTAACACCGATGGTCAACGGTCAACTCCAGATGTCAATGGTAAAATTAATATTTAAAATAAAAAGATTAAATTTTCACCAGACATTTTGTTCTCTATTTAATAGTTAGGACTGAGTCTCATAAAATAGGAACACATTTGATTCAATCCCTATATTGTATATAAATGTGTATATAATATTAATTTTTTTATGTATATTATGGAGGACAAAGGAAAGAAACAAGAATTTTGAGCATAAATTCCACAACTTGAGAAATAATACTATTGAAAGTTAAATAATTTTAAACATTTCCTTTTTTTTTTTATATTAAAGTAACTTTGCATAATAATTAATAACATGTATTTTTTATGTTTATATAATAATACTTATACACATACAACACACACACACACACACATATATATATATATTATTACTAAATGAATCTACAGGGGCCCGTGCCCCTACAGGCCCTTATGCAGGTCGGCCACTGAGTAATATTGGTTAGTTAGATAATTATACTTTTCAACTAAATATATATTTATCTCATGAAATGTCAGATTTATTTATATATTTTGAAAAAATATATAAATATTTTGAACAATGTACTTAAAAGTATGACATTTGAATGTAAAGATATATAAATTTATTCAAAATATATGATTTAGGTAAATTTATCTTAGCATTATGTTTAATTGTAGTTGTTATTTTACCAGAAACTTAGGTTTTATATCACCCTAAACATTACAAACTCCAGAACATCAAAACTTTAAGTGATTACTACACATTAAAACTTGAATTTGGTGATTTTTATTTTACAAAGTTCATGGAGGAGACATGACTTGGAAAATTATTATAGAAAAACAAAAGAAAGATAAAGAAAAAAAGAAAGTCAATCCCAAACTCAAACCCAAATAATATTATTCTAACAATGTTTTGAAAAATCTTTCATCGAAATCACTAACTATCAATCTTTTCAATTAAATAATATAAATTTCTTTATTCTTATCAATTTTTTTAATCCTACCATTTAATTCTACTAGAATTGATAAATTTACCAATTTCTACTAAGTAGTATTTATAATTAACTATATGGTTTAACCAATTATACAACTTACCAATTTATACGAAAAGCAACTTGAGTAAAGAACAAAAAAAACATCATATAAAAAAGAACTAAAGTATTATATAACACATGTAAAAATATCTAAAATATTCTATTATTTTAGAAAAATGTGTAAAATCACCTAAATTTTTTTGAAATAGTCATAAAAAATATGTCTAAAAACACCTAAATTAAATTAATCTTTTAAATGATAATATACTATAATATTTTATATACATCGTGAAATACAATTTCCATCAAATTAGATGCTATAAATTATATTAATTTATTTCAATGTACTTTAGTTATTTTTTACTGATTAAGATACACAAATGTTTATATAAATATAAAAATATAAATAAATAAACAATTAAATAAAAATGACACAACAGTATAAACAACCAAACTTTTAACCTGTAATTATAGCGTACATAATGTGAATACTTAGAGCATGCTTGTTTATAAATTATTTCACTCACATTTAATTCATACTCAAAATCTAACTAAACTTTACTTCAATTCCACTACTTTTAATATTATTCATATAATTAAATAATACAAACCAATCATTCTTACACATCACATCAAATTTAATTCACTATTCATTCACTCACATAATTTTAACTGCCTATCATTTTCAATCATTTATCTCCTACTTTTGTATCAAATCAATTTTAATTATTTTATTTTAAATATTATTTTATTGCATTCTTAAAATCTCACTAACAATTAACCATACCACATTTTTCAAACTAACTCTAATTAATCAAAATAACTCATTTTAGACGAATTATTTTGTAAACAAGCGAGCCCTTAATATGTGACGTGGCGTAATCTTAGAAGGGAATGGTGCCGTTAAAAGTAGCAATGGAAATTTCCTATGATACATATCCTTAAAACTAGCGAAATGTAATGCCTATACTCACATATCAGGGCTCTCTTAGGGTGAGTTTGGTTGTAATAATGGATTGGACTTGATATAATTATTTTTATTGTTTCAAAGACTATTCATTTGTTTGGTTAGTATATTAACTTGTTTGGTGTAGAATTAGAAATTATATCCTTTATGTTGAAAATACTTTTGTACCCCTCATTTAAAATTAAATTTTCTAAATGAGTCCACCAGATTGAAATAAAATGGAGCTCGGAAAAAAAATGGCGAATCCATCGGATACAATTTCTTCAAGCAAAACGCTTCAGCGTCTGAAACCTGACCGTCGAGCAACTCATCGCCCTCCGTCAACCCTCGGTTGCTCTCTTGCCTCTAGTGCCATCGCAAGTTCTGCACCTCGCCGACCAACAAGAAATCGCTTACGAACGCCGGCAAATTACCCCGTCATCCGTCTGCCGCCGCCATCAAGATCGACGGGCCGAGAAAATGGCCGATCTAAAATTAAGAAAAAAAAATAAGGAAAAAGGAGGGTCGATCTGAAATTTACCCCTTGGACCAGTCATTATCTATGTAGAAAGCTTAATTGAACCAATTGAACCCACATTCAAAGGAGGACTACAAGTTTGGGGCTGGACGAAATAAAGGCTTAATTTCCACTGATCTAAGGACCTGTTGCTTTACGAAATAATAAT